TGAACCAAAAACATGCAAGATCAATCAACTCATTTGGTTTCAAGGGTTTATGGGTCAAGAGACAAAGAGGGTCTCTTTTGTATGGTGGTTTAGTAACAGGGATCTCTCAAGAAAGTGGCTTTGCTTTGGCAGAAGGCTAAGTGTTAGAACCAAAGATGATGCAAGAACAGCAGCTCGAGCCGCCTAATCCTAACTCGATCGAGTTCAACACTTAGAGCTTTTTAGAACAAAATCCTAACTACCCTTTTTGGCATTTCGCCTTTGAAACTGAGGAGCTTTGCTCACTTTTCTTTTAAGAACTTCCTAGGGAGAGGCTTCTTGAGGTAACATCTAGCGGTTTGGGATTTTCTAAACACTTAGGGAACTTTTCTTTCCTTTTTTACACTTGAGGCTTTGCCTTCTTTTCATTCTACTTAGAACCCTTTTTACTTCTTTTTTTAACTTCCCAAACCTTTACTAGACCCTTTTTACACTGCCAACTCCCTGGACTTAACAAACTCTTTTTCCTTTGGATTTTCCCAACTTTTACCACTTTTCTGGTTTTTGACACCCAACTCGATCGAGCTCGAGTTGGCACCCCCAAACTTAGCCTGAAAACAATCCCAAGAGAACTAGACAACTAGAACTACTGCCCCTGCCGGTTTAAACACAACACCTTATGCTAAGCAAAGCCAAGAAAGGTTCTCACAATTCGCACAAGAGATAATATGGGGTTTGAAATGAAAAGGCTTAGGTTTAAGGTGTGGTAACTGTCTCAAAGATAGAGATCAGCTATCTGGACAAGCAAAAGGGATATGAAATGGTAAAGAATGTCCAGATATGTATGTGGTAGCCATGAGTTGAAATCAAATGCAAGCATTGGTAATTAAAGATCAAGTTATGGTTCAAATAGATAGGGAAATGCATCAAATCACAGCAATGGTTGAATGAGATGTGCATGCAGTGATATGATCAAGATAAACATGGTTCTTGCTGCTCAATCAATCTCACCCTAATGCACAAAGAATCTAAAAACAGGGCACTCAAGAAATCGCAAATGATGACAAGTTTTCAAAGTCAAATCAACAATGCAAGTGAAAAGATGCAATCCTAAACAATCTAACAAATATGAATGCAAAAAGATGAAAATATTTTTGGATTTTTTGAAAATTTTATGATTTTTTTTGGTTTTTCTATGCAAAAGATGAATGAAAAACTAAGAACAAAGAAAACAAGGTTAAATCATCTCTTGAACCCTCCCCCAAACTTAAATCACACAGTCCCTTGTGTGAGAAAATTTAGTGAAAGATTCAAGAGGGCAAAACCAAGAAAAAACAAGAACAAAGCAAGAAAATATGAAATGGTATTACAAGGGTTGGTGTTTGGATACCTCAGTGCCCCCCAAAGAACTGGGAGGCAAGGTCGTGGTCTGGAGATGGTAGACGGCCATCAGGAGCGCTCCACTCGACTGGGTTCTCGGCTCACTCGATCGAGCTTGCGGCTCCTCTTCTTCCTCTTCTTCATCGAAGTGTGTGTGGCTCCCTTGGCCTTGGTGGAGCATGGCTAGCTCGAACTGTCCATAGGGGTCCATCTCTGGAGAAGTCCTGGTAAGGCGTTGGGTACTCAAATCCAGGGTCAAAGGGGCTCCTCCTCAACTCGACCTCAGCTCGATCGAGTTGAGTTTCCTCTGTTTGGACTCGATCGAGTCCGGTGGTCGAGCTGGAGCGTCTGGCCTTGGAAGTCTTCCTCCTTCTCTGCGTGTTGTCTTCTCCTTCCCTTGGCTCGAAAGAAGAGGCTCTGTGAGGCTCTTGGGTAGGAGCCTCCTTGGAGTGGTGAGAGTGACTACTCCTAGGGAAAGTGGGGCCTTGGACTTCTTCTTCTTGCTTGAAGAACCAGAAACCTTCTTCTCCAAACTTTTGATCTTGCTCACCATCTTGTCCATGGACTTTTGCATCTTCTCAATGGCTTTCCCTTGCCATTTGTTGAACTTTTGGAGAAGTCCAATCCTCTTGTGGGCAGCCACAACAGAGGGGTTCATCCTTGGAGCCTCATACTCCTCAAAGTAATAGCACTCAGGCTCACCCAAATCATACTCTCCTGGACCTGATCCTCAGCTTGAGCCTCAGCTCGATCGCCTCTTCTTGCAAATCCGCTTCATGCCCAACTAATGTGTACACAGGGGGTCTGAAATCAATGTTCTCACCCCTGAACTGTGGTGAGCTCTGGGTTGGGCAGGAGAAACTTGGAGGGTCCAACCAATGGATGAGTGAACTTGAATTGGAACTCCCATCCAACTCCTTGTGCTCAATGAGAAGGTTGGTCTTGCAAAACTTGATGTCCATCCAACCTGGTTCAGTGGCTCTCCTATCAGTTGGGTTCACTCCAGCAGCACACAAGATAGGTGTGATGAGCCCTCCAACACTTAGGGCCTTCCTCGTTGATGCCTAGTGTTGTAGGCTGTGGTCTTGTAGGTGAGGAGATGGTCAAGGAAAGGCATCAAGTTCCCTGTGTCAGATCTATCTCCCCTGATCCTCTTGCCATCACTTGTGCGTGAGAGAATAGGCTTGATTCCCATGTCAAGAAACTTGAGTTCCCCCTCGTTGATGTCCCGGTGCCTTCCTTGCAAAGAAGGTGTTGGCAAGTGCCTTGTGCACATACCTCAAGACTGGGCTCCTGATCTGAGCTGCCTTGGACCTTGAGGAAGAGTACACTCCATCAGCGATTGTAGCCCAAACTCTTTGGAGTTCCTTTTCCTTGAAGTTCCACTTGACCTTCTCCATAGTTGAACCCAAACAAGATCTCCAAGCTGCCTAAAGGTCACCATTCTCTTCTCTCCCTTAGCCAAGAACGTGATCCATCCCAATCCTTGGTCCAAATCAGCTCTATCTTCTCTTCATACATGTGGTACCTCATTGAAGCTAGAACTCGCAAGTGAGCTCCTTGTAGGATTCCATGTGATAAGAGAAGAGCTTGGCCAAGTGCATGTTCTTGAGGACCAACTCCACATCTTCAAAGATTCCAAGGGCCTTCATTGTGTCAACATGTGGGTACTTGGTATCCATGAAGTCCATCGAGAAGAGAGCATCGTAGTGCTCTTGGTACATAGGAGTTCTTCTTCTTCCTCTTGCGGCTGTTCTTGTGGCTCAACTTCCTCCATAGGTTCATCTTGGTTACTTTCTTGCTCACTTTCTTCAACCAACTGATTCACCTCTTCTCCTTCCTCTTCACTCTCAGTCTCATCACTTCCTTCTTCACTTGGAGAACCATTTCCCTCCTCTTGAACAAGGTTCACTCCAATCTCAAACTCCCCTTGCTCACTCTCACTACTTATGGGTCATTCTCTTCTTGGTTCTCCTTTCCTCCATCAATCTCTCACTCTCAGATTCTGCCTCAGAGTACACATATCCCTCTGCATCAGACTCTTCCATCCTCTGATTCATCCTCTCCAAATCGGCTTGCATCTTAAGCCTTCTTTCCCTTGCATTGCTTGACTCACCCTCAACCATCCTCCTTTGTGAAGCACGACTTCCCTCACTGTTTGTCATCTCTGTTACACTGTTTCTTCACTAAAGTACCTGAAATGCATCAAAGATTACAAAGAATTAGAGTTGTAATGATCGGTTTGGTCAACTCGACACCCAGCTCGATCGAGTCAAAAAACTCGAGTGACAAACTCGATCGAGTTGGGTGAAAACAGAGTACAACCAAAACCTAATTCAATGTATTAAGAGCTGGAAAGGATGCTAATAATCAAATTGAACCAAGAACAACTAGTAAATGGAACAATGAGCAATTTAGTGAAGAACATAGCACCTAACCAATACCTAACTCAAATTCAAATTTTAAACATGCAACAATTCAAAGGCAAAACAGAGGTGAGGTGAAGCAAAACTGAGAAGTCTACACAGCAGAGGCGAAATATGAAAGCAATTCTCAATAACAAGTCCACAAGGGACACATGCAATCAAAATAAAGAGAAAACAAGCAAACAAGAGGGATCGAGATGGATGAATTAAGGGTTTTAGGGTTCATACCTTGTTGAGTGAGGAATTAAGAGAAGTAAACAGAAACCCAAGCAAAACAAGAAGATGAACACTTGAAATCGCAAAAACTTAAGAGAGAAAGAGGGAAAATCGAAAAATTTCTTGTGGTGAAGAGAGAGATGGATGAGTTTCAGAAATTTTAAGAAAAATATGAGTGTGGGAGAGAGGAATCGTGGGTTCGATCGAGTTATGGGGAAGAGAGTGTTTGAGATGTGTGGTTGAGATTAAAAGATGAATAAAGAGGGAACAAGAAAGCTAGGGATTCTCTGATCAAATTAGGGTAGTGGGGGACCAAAATCAGCTTGTGGGACCCACTCCCTTGACCAAGAAAACGGTTATGAATTTGAAATTCAAAAACTTACCTCGGTCGAGTTGTGTAGCTCGATCGAGTTGCCCTGGTTTCTAGCTCGATCGAGCTATTGGTCGAGCTGGCTCCCTTGATACCTAAACTTAACTTATTCAAAGGTTCAAAACATAAAGATAGATAGAAATTGCATAAATAGAGTATGTACAAGGATAAACATGGGACTTCCTCCCAAGTGAGCTTGTTTAAGGTCCCATAGCTTGACCTTTACCTTCTTAGGCATTGGTTGAGCTAGTCCCACCATCAAGGGTGATAGTGAGGACTTGAGACAGAAGCTCCTTTAGCTTGGCTGGGTCCCTGGACTGTTCTGAAGTCACCAAAGCCTTGGCTCTAGAGAATGGCCTTGATCTCCCCTTGTACCTTACCTTGTACTCAATCTTCCCATTTTCAAACTTGGTGGGGAACAAAGTCATTGTGAGCTGATATGGCTTGGATGAAGGGGTCTGAGCTGGTGGGTCTTTTCTTTTATCCCCTGGTCTTGCCTTAGAGGCTACATCCTCCCCTCCTTTTAGAGCCCTTCCTAGTGGCTCATCAAACAAAGCTTGAAGGCTCTCTTCATCAAGCACACAAGGGGCTTGAACAAGTCTCTCAGCTCTTGGCCTATCAGAACGCGGTTTCTCAATTCTAGCCCTCTCAAGTCGTGGCTTCTCAATCCTTGCTCCTTTATCAATCTCTTTGTCAACCTTATCCTTCCCAACTCTTGGTTCCTTGTCAACCCTTTCTTTCACAACCTTTGTAGCTCCATTACTCTTAGAACTTAGATCGGTACTGTCAGTTGTGGCACAAAAGTCTGAACCTCTAGGCTACAAGCGATATGACACCAAACTATTCACTTTGTGAAGGATCACCTCTTGCTTGTGAAAGTCAATTGAAGCGCCAACTGTACTAAGGAAAGGGGTTCCCAATAACAGAGGCAAATCCTTCTCTTCTTCCATTTCCATCACAGTGAGATCAGTTTGGATGATGCATTCTCCAATTTTCAAGTGATAGTTCTTGAACACTCCAAGAGGAGACTTAGTAGTGGCATCTCCAAAGATGATTGAAGTAGTAGGGCGCTGCAAGGCTCCAGCTATGCCTAGCTTCTCTGCCATGGAGAGAGATATCAGATTGATGCTTGCTCCAGAATCCACTAAGGCATTATCAAGCTCAAGATGCCCAAGTGTGCAAGGGAGAGTGAATTTCCCTTGATCCTGGACCTTTTGTAGGAATGTGGGTGAAGTAAGCAGGTTGAACTGATGAGTAGACTCTTGTAGGACCTCTGTAACTTGTAAGGATCAAGCAAAACAAGTTGTCGGACAGAAGAGGTCGGACTCGATCGAGCTAGAGATGGACTCGATCGAGCTGCCGATCGAGCTTGTCGTGCGAGTTCAACTGGTGAAGTGTGAATGGCACAGTAGGTGCCTGCACTTCTGGTTGATCAATCTGGACTCCAGGAGCCTCAGCAGCAACAATCTCTTCATCATTCAGCAGTAAACAAAAATCTTCAATGACCCTTTCTTGATCCTCTTCTTCAACAAGTCCTTCTTGAGTGAAGATGACCTTGCACTGTTCCTTGGGGTTCTGAATAGCTTTACCAGGTAGTTGTCCTTGCTTTGTAGCAGCAGCAACAGAAGAAGCATGATTCTCCAGAGAGTAAACCCTTGTGTTGAGATTCTCAATCTTGAGTTGATTTCAGCTAGCTTCTTGCTTGTGTCCACTACACCATCAGCTTGCCCTTGAAGCAAGTTGTTTAGCATTGCCTTGAGCTCATTCTCTTGTGGTGCAGGCTGGGGTGGTTGGTGGGGAAAGCCAGGTGGTATGTGCATTTGCTGACCAGGAAAAGTCCCTTGGGCCTTGGTAATTGTTCTTTTGACCATACCCATGTTGTGGCTTGACTCGATCGAGCTTGCTTGTTGTTGAGGATAGACCTGGTCCTGAGGGTTAGCAACATCAGTGTTGCGGTATGACATGGCTGGGTTGGACTTGTAGTTATAGTATCCTTTGTTGTAACCTCCTTGCCCATTGCTCATGTAGCACACCTCAGCAAATTGTGTATCCTCCCCTTCTTGGACTGGTTCCATCTCCTCAGCAGACACAAAGTTGACTTTCTTCATTGTGGACTGAGCTAAGATCAGCTTATCCAACTTCTCATTCAATGCCTTAACATCTTTTCTCAACTTTTCATCTGACTCGATCGAGTGGTGGGTCGAGCTCCGGTTGGTGCGATCATACTCTTCTCCATAGCTTCCATTTGAGTTGGCTATGTTCTCCACAAGTTGCCAGCCATCATCTACATCCTGGTTGAGGAAGTTCCCATTGCTAGCTGTGTCTAGCATCTCCCTATACCTAGGCAAGCATCCTCTATAAAGAGTGGAGAGTAGTGATTCATTGTTGAATCCATGGTGTGGGCACTGACTTGTGTACCCTTTGAACCTCTCCCAAGCCTCTGCGAATGTCTCATTGTTTCGCTGGATGAAGCTGGATATCTCTCCTCTAAGCTTGGCTGTGCGACCGGTGGAGAAAAACTTAGCAAGAAAGGCCTTCTTGCATTCATCCCAAGTGGTGATTGTGCCATGGGGCAAGCTCTTCTCCCATTGGTGAGCTTTGTCAGCTAGAGACATAGGAAAGAGTCTCAGCTTGATGGCATCTTCAGAGACACCATTGATCTTTGTCAAATCACAAAGCCTATCAAACTCATCAAGGTGGTCAATGGGGTCTTCACTTGGCAATCCATGGAACATCTTGTTCTGGACAAGGTTGATCATTCCCAGCTTGATCTCAAAGTTGTGGTTCTGCACTGGTGGTGGAACAATCCCTTGTCTCTGTTGGTGGCGGTTTGGAGCATCTCCTTGACCAATCGGTCGAGTTTGCCTAGCTCGACCGAGTCCATTCCCAAAGGGTTTCCATTCCCCTCTGGTACATCCATTGTATCAGCAACAAGCACCTCAGGTTCCTCTTGTACCCTCTGTGACCTCTGAACCCTCTTTCTACCCGTTGTAAGTCTAGCTCGACCAAGTCTTCAGTTAGACCGACTCGATCGAGTTCGCATACACCTGCAAAAAGAGACAAAAACCCAGCAGTACAATAGAACAGGGGTGGTATAGCTTGATCGTCCAAGTGTGTTTGAAACTCAAATGCAACAAAAATATTCCCAAATCGGCAACGGCGCCAAATTGATGATAGGATTTGTGTGTGGATGTGAAAAGATATGAAATGAGATGAGTGGAATGCAATCAGTGGTATATGATGGTGGTAAGATGCAAACACAAACACAGTCAACAATTCCCTTTAACCATGATAGTTGATGTAGTACAAAGGGTTATCAATCCAAAATGGGAAACTTGTCACTCTATGAGAATATGAAACAACCAGGAAGTCAAGCAAGCAGTATAGATTTGAAGTAACACTAACAACCTAAAAATGAAATGCAGTGCAATAAAAGTAAAGAAAGCAGTAAACAAGTAGCTCGACCAAGGACTCGAGTCGAGTGGAACAGAGTACCAGCTCGATCGAGTTTAGGGTCGAGTTGAGAAAAAGCTAAAGGTGACGACTTTAACAAGATAAAGAGAGAATTAGGGTTCAAGACAGGGTTTTGCAATCAAAGGAATCTACACTTAATCAATCTAGCTCTTAAAACTCCTTGTATCAAGGCTTCTCTTGATATTGGGCTTCTCAATGCCTAGCCAACCCTTTCCCAAGGTGAAGGCTATCAACCAAGGAATGATCTCAGAAACAGGGGGTTAGCCAGTGAGAATCAAACCTTGGAGGCTATAGGATCATTGCCCAAACTAATCCATCCAACCCCTTAGACCTCTATTGTCTAGAGCAAGAGATATTGGAGCTCTTAGTGGATCTTTTCCAGCGAATGCCATCACTTCCGTGTGGGGATCGCCTAAGGACTTACAAGCCAGGGGTAGTGGTCATGTAGCCTTAAGATCTATCCAAAAGAGAGAGAATCTAGATTAAGACCATAAGCTAGAAGGATTAAGCATATGAAACCTCTAATCTATCCCATCTCAAACCCTAATGGGTAACTACTCACTACACATGAATGTAAACACAAGCAAATGCAATAAAAGAGACATCATAAGAAAGAGGAGATGAAATTAAACAACTTTTATTGAAATAAGCAAGTGCAAATACAAAGAGATTATCCAGGATCTAGGATTCAAGAAGCAAGAGCTTCAAGAACACAAAGATGGGATTAGAGTCTCTAAAAAGTAAAAGACAATAAATTAAAAGAAACTAAAACAAAATAATCTAAAGCTTGGTGGTTTTTTCGTGGCTTAGCCTTTAAATACAAGAGGATTAGGTTTAGGGTCAAAGGAAAGTCAAGGGGGAAGCAACATTTTTCGGGTTTGACTTTGACTTCCAGCTCGATCGAGTTGAAGCTTGGCCGGTCGAGTTGAGGAACTCGACCGGTTGGTCGAGTAGACGGTCGAGCTGGTCTTCAAGATGGCTTCTCCCTTCTTCCTTTGCGTATCCAGTTGAGCTGCTTCCATGTGCCAAGTCCCTCCATGCTCCTTGTCCCATATGCTCCAGAATGCTCCAAAAGACCTATTTCAAAGGACCAAACATGCATATGTATGCAAATGCAACCTAAAACTAACATGAATGCATAAGAAGAGAAAAGGAACAAGATATGATGCAAATGGAAGCTAAAACTATGCAAAAGATGCATAAAAGATGTGCTAAAACTATGTAAAATGCAAGTACATCAGTGACAAGTAGTGGAAAACAACAACTTGGTACCCAACTTAGACCACAAAGTTTTCCAAAAATAACTCAGGAACTTAGTGTCACAATCAGAAACAATGGTGCGCAGCATGCCATGCAATCTAACAATTTTTTTAAAGAACATAGCAGCTATATGAGATGCATCATCAGTCTTATTGCATGCTACAAAATGAGCCATTTTTGAGAACCTATCAACTATCACAAATATAGAATCTTTTCCAGTTCTAGTCCTAGGCAATCCAAGCAGAAAATCCATAGATATATCAGTCCAGGGATGAGATGGAATAGGGAGAGGAGTGTACAAACCATGAGGTTGAACCTTAGATTTGGATTGTTTACAAGTTGCACATCTAGAACAAATCCTCTCCACATCTCTGATCATGTGCGGCCAATGAAAGTTATCACGCATAACTTGAAGTGTTTTGGCCACACCAAAGTGTCCCATCAAGCCTCCTCCATGTGCTTCCCTGACAAACAAATCCCTCAAAGAACAATTAGGCACACAGAGACGGTTCTCAGACGGTTGGTAGTATCGGCCAAAAGCAAACTTAGAACAAGACTTATAGATCTCAGCAAAATCAGAATCAGAAGCATACAAGTCTTTTATCTTTTCAAAGCCCAAGAGTTTAGCATCAAGAGTTGAGAGAAGAGTGTACCTCCTGGACAATGCGTCGGCTACAACATTGTCCTTACCTTTTTTGTACTTGATGACATATGGGAATGTCTCAATGAACTCAACCCACCTGGCATGCCTCTTGTTGAGCTTCTGTTGGCCCTTGAGATGTTTGAGAGACTCATGGTCTGTGTGGATGACAAACTCCTTTGGCCAGAGATAGTGTTGCCAAGTTTGTAAGGCGCGGACCAAGGCATAGAGCTCTTTGTCATAGGTTGGATAGTTGAGAGTGGCTCCTCCAAGCTTTTCACTAAAGAAAGCAATTGGCTTCTTGTCCTGCATCAAGACAGCTCCAATACCTATGCCTGAAGCATCACATTCAATCTCAAAAGTTTTTAACAAGTCAGGTAAAATAAGAACAGGGGCATTAGTCAAGCGATCCTTGAGAGTCTGGAAAGCATCCTCCTGTGCTTTCTCCCACTTGAATCCAACTTCTTTCTTGATGACTTCAGTTAAGGGTGGTGCGGCCAAGGTACTAAAATCACGGACAAACCGCCTATAGAACCCAGCTAGGCCGTGGAAGCTTCTGACTTCACTCACTGTCTTAGGACTTGGCCATTCTCTGATTGCTGCAACTTTCTCTTCATCCACCTTGACTCCATCTGCACTCACAACAAAGCCTAGAAAAACCACATTATCTGTGCAAAAAGTACATTTCTTAAGATTGGCAAACAATTTTCTTTTCTTAGCACAGACAGGACAGATGCAAGGTGATCTAGATGCTCTTCAAGGTTCTTGCTGTAAATCAAGATGTCATCAAAGTAAACCACAACAAAATGACCAATGAAGTTTCTCAGGATATGGTTCATTAAGCGCATGAATGTACTAGGTGCATTAGTGAGACCAAATGGCATGACAAGCCATTCATAAAGACCATGTTTAGTTTTAAATGCAGTTTTCCATTCATCTCCTTCTTTCATCCTAATCTGATGATAACCACTTTTTAAATCAATTTTAGAGAAAATGCTAGAACCATGCAATTCATCAAGCATATCATCAAGTCTAGGGATAGGATGTCGATACTTTACAGTGATATTGTTGATGGCTCTGCAGTCCACACACATGCGCCAACTCCCATCTTTCTTGGGCACAAGAAGAACAGGAACAACACAAGGACTCATGCTTTCCTGATGTGACCCTTATCCATAAGCTCATCAATTTGGCGCTGGAGTTCTTTGGTTTCCACTGGATTGGTTCTGTATGCTGGACGGTTTGGAAGAGTGGATCCAGGGACAAAGTCTATTTGATGCTCAATGCCTCTGACTGGTGGCAATCCCTTGGGACAATCCTCTGGAAACACATCCTGGAAATCCTGTAAAAGTTTGGACATCTCACTCGGAATCTCCGGTGCATTATCAATCAAGAGGTTAAATGTTCCTTTAAAGATGAATAAGAGAAAAGGCTTATTAGAAACATGGAACTTTTAACCTGTTTGGATTTGGCCAGATAGTTCAGGGACTTGCTGGATTTGGTTGGTTCCTTCTTGGCTTGAGGTTTAGTCTTTTGGCCACTCAACTGAACTTGATCTTCATACACTTCTTGAGGGGTTAAGGGAATGAGATTGGTCTTGTGCCCCTTGTGAAGGAAAGTGTACTTGTTTGTGAAGCCATCATGCAAGACACGCCTATCAGATTGCCATGGCCTTCCCAGAATGATGTGTCCAGCATCCATAGGCAAGACATCACACTAAATCTCATCTTCATAGCTTCCTATAGATAGTGGCACGACCACCTGCTCCTTCACACTCATATCTCCAGTCTCATTGATCCACTGTAGTTGATATGGCTTAGGATGTTTCTGAGTCACAAGACCAAGTTTCTCAACCATGGCCTCACTAGCCACATTAGTGCAACTGCCTCCATCAATGATTAAGCTGCAAACCTTCTCCTGGACAAGACAGGGAGAATGGAATAGATTTTCTCTTTGCTCATCCTTGTGTGTTTGGACTTGAGCGCTCAAGAGTCTTCTGGCCACCAGAAGCTTGCCCATGACAGGCACAGCCTCATACTCCTTTGGTTCTGGCTCTTGGTCTGGCTCCAGAGCTTCTTCCTCAGACTCCACTTCTCCATTGTCTCTTATGAATATGATCTTCTTGTTGCGGCATTCATTGGCATAATGTCCAAAGCCCTGGCATCTGAAGCACTTAAGCGCGCGGGCTCTGGGGGCAGGAGTGGCACTGGACTTGTTCTTGTCCTTGTCTTGGTTGTAAGGGACTCCTCTGGGCTCAGACTTTGGTGTAAAGATCGGTTTGGAGTCTCTGGCATAGACAGGCCGGCGCTGATCAGTTCCATTCCGAGTTGGCGCTCTCCTTTTGAGTTGGGTTTCGGCCAGAACTGCTTTGTGTAGCATAGACTCCAAGCCCACACAATTCTGCATCTCCACAATATCTTGGATCTCGCGGTTGAGCCCTCCAAGGAACCTGGACATAGTGGCTTCTCTGTCCTCAACCACATTAGCCCTTAGTAACATTACTTCCATCTCCTGGAAGTACTCTTCAACTGTTTTGGACCCTTGAGTGAGCCTCCTGAGCTTGGAATGTAGCTCTCTCTGATAGTAGCTAGGTATGAACCTTTGCCTCATGATTCTTGTCATCTCTTCCCAGGTAGAGACCTCAAGAGCTCCACCAATCTCTCTTGCGGTCACGATTTGTTCCCACCACCTTAGGGCATAGTCATTGAACTCAGAGACCGCCAGTTTGACTCTGTTGATGTTGGATATGTTGTGTAAGTTGAAGTTGAACTCACACTTCTTCTCCCAGTCCATGTACTCATCAGGATTATTGTTGCCATGGAAAGGGGGAATCCGGATCTTGTAACCTCCAAGATTTTCTGGATCATCGCGATGCCTTCTAGAGCGGCGCCTGCTTCCTTGAGAGGAATGGCCACTGTTGTAGTAAGCATTGGCTTGCTCATCGGCCATCCTTCTTGAGGCCATAGGGTCGTTCCTCCCCTCCTCATCCGAGATATGGATGTGATCTCTAGACTCCTTGCGCTTGCCTGCTTTAATTTGTTCCCTCCGTTCAAACTCTTCCCTCATGAGTTTCTTCATTTGTTCCAGAAGGGATTCACTGAGACTCTTATTCGAATCTTCTTCATCCTCCTTTCCATCCGCCATAGTACCTGAAACAACAGGAGAGAACTCGGCAGTTAGGAGTTCAAAGAAAAAGATCAAGAAATATTTTTAGAAATTATGCAAACAATTTCTAAAAATATGAGAAAAATAGTAGATGGATAGATCTAGGTGAGAGTGATCAGGATTAATTATGACAATAGTTTTAAAATTGTGCAAATAATTAAACCAATTTCCAGTAACAAATTTCGCCAGATCTAGAAGATGAACAGCCACAAATGATATGATGAACAAAAACGAAATTAAAACAAAAAAAAAGGGAGAAGTACTTAGCTTCAAAGTGGCTCTGATACCACTTGATAGACCCCTGATTATAGATCGGCACTTTGAAGCAAGTTTGATGATGGGATGATGAACGATGGAGTGATGGAAATGACTTGGACGAAATGGTGAAGTAAAAAGGGATTGAAGAGTGGCTATAACAAGAGATCTGCGGAAGGATCTCTCAACACCAAACTTGTTGATCTCTAGGATATTACACACCAAGAGATGGACAAGGCACTTGTGGATCTCCAGGATATTACACACCAAGAGATGGACAAGGATTAGATCTCTCAAAGATATGACACACTTTAAGAAAACTAAAGATCTTAGATATTACACACTAAGAGGTTTGATACAAAAGGGTTTTGATTAAAAGATTGCATAAACTGAAAGAGAAATTCGTCCAGGACTTAAAGGAGAGAAGAGAGAAGAGAGATGAAGAGATGAGTCAAAGGAACAGGCTCCATGACCATCTTGGAAACACACAAAACATTAAAGACAAAGTTTGAAAATAAAAGAGACTCTTCAGTTGCCTGGAGAAGAGTTGGGCCGGACCCACACAACATGAGATAAAAGAGTGATTTGAAAGTGGGTCTTAGGCCTCATTAAAAACCTGCCAAGGAAAACCCAAAGGGACAAAACCTTGGCAGGGAAAAAGAGCACACTAAGATCCACTTGCTCCTTTATCCCAAGTGTTGGGCTCTCAAACAAACCAGAGTGGAATGTTTAAGTTCATGGTTCTGCCGACTCAAACGGCTAAGTACTCTTCCAATGCTTTGGTTGAGTAACTTAGTTTGGGACCTTGTGACTTGTCTAGATGGCAAGGCCAAAGCTTCCAAAGCTTCCTCAGGTTCAAGCTGTTCCTCTGCTTCAAGCTCTTCCTCTGCTTCCTGGTCCAAGTTCCTAGCAACCTCCTCCATGATCATATCAACCAAAGCGCGCGAGCTGGGGATTAAAGCCTCGCGGCCGTGCAACTCGCCTCACGTACCGCGCACGAACGCTCCGTCCGACCCGGGGAGTAACGCCTCGCGTCCGGCCGAGAGATTTCATCGGCCAAATCTATCCGCCGACCACGCCGGCCGACCGTGAATCCATCCGGCCCCGACCGTTCCGACTCGGCCACAACCCGATTGTCCGGCCGATCGTCCCGCACGACCGTCCCAACGCCGCGGTCGACCCGAAGCCCTTTTGAAGCCCAAATTTCATATTTTCAAGCCCGGCTTAACCCTAAGCCGCCTCTAGAAAGACCTAGCACTATATATATAGGATTTTTAGCCTCTTGTGAAAAGAGAGCCGCCCTTGTATTTCGATTTCCTACTCTAAGTTTTATTGCAATCATGTTTTCTTCATCTCTATGTGTGTTTGCTTTGATCATGTCTGAGTAATCCACTAGTTAGGTTGCTAGGGTTACTATTCAATGAGTTGCTTGCATGATCTTTGATTTCAATGATTAGCTAGGGATTATATTAGAGTCTTTGTCTCGTCTTGTGCACTTAACTAATGCTGATTGCTTTACCGCGCATCTAGTAATCCGATCTTAGGTTGATTTGAGCCTCGACAGTGCTGTATCATTCGCCGGACATATTCTTTGACAAGCTAGGTTTCTTAGACTGCGAAAGTTGATCTATCTATATCTAGTGAACTGTATCAGAACCTATTCATTCTAATGCTTGATCTAATCACCTAGGGACATACCAAAAGTTTAGCGACTAGGTAGATTAGCAAAGGAGCCGGAGCCTCGAAAGTGGAATGGTTTTATATTCGTGATCTGTGTTCTAGATGGTTCTTAATATCCCAATATCCCTAATCAATTAATCTATCATTGTTTCATTGATCATTGCTTGCTTCTCTGCGATAGCCCCTATGACCTAGCGCTTTTCCTTTATTGTTTACAACCTCGTTATACTTGCTAGTTCGGTTCACCATTACAACCTCAATCATACTTTTGTTTTAGCTTGATCCAAAATCCATAGTTACAAAGTGTACTCAATAGCCAGTCCTTGTGTTCGATACCCATACTTCCGCGATCTGTGCACTTGCAGAGGTCTAGGAGTTTGGTAAAACCTGACTCCGCATCAAGTTTTTGGCGCCGTTGCCGGGGACTGCAGCAGTACCTTTGGAACTCGACTAGGATCTAGTCTAGAACCTTTTCCTGTTTTGCTTTTCTTTTGCTTTTGAATTTTTAGTTTTTGATTTCTTTTCTTTGATTTTTGCTTTTGTTTTTGTTTTTCCCTTTTGATTTAACTTGTTTCCAAGACTCTTTTCAGGTGCATGACTAGGAGGTCCAACAAGGACAACCTAGTTGAACATCCAGAGATAGACAAGCTTGAGAAGCAACTTAGGAAGCAAAAGCCCAAGAGATGGCCGACGAAGCAGCTCGCGCTCACGCCGCTGAAGTGGCGCGCGCTCAAGAAGAAGGAAGAGATCCACCTCCTCCTCCTCCTAACCCTGCTGGAGATGTGAATGCACAACCCAAGCGGAGCACCTACAATCGGAGACTATGACTCTGCCGATGCTTTCTTCATGGATAGAAACCCTATCCATCCACCACTTCCTGCAAGGAATGACTATGAGATCAAGCCTCAGATCATTGCATTGGTTAGACAGAACCAATTCAATGGCCTTCCAGCTGAGCACCCTCTTGATCACATAGAAAACTTTGAAGAAATTTGCAGCACTACAAGATCCAATGGAGTCTCTGCTGACTACCTTAAGTGCAAGCTCTTTTCATTCTCTCTTGGCGACAAAGCTTCAAGATGGTTGAAGTCTCTGCCAGCTCACTCCATCACCACTTGGGATGAGTACAAGGCTGCATTCATCAACCACTTCTACACCAAACAGAGATCAATTTCTGTAAGGAACAAGATCTCCACTTTCGCCAAGCCAACAATGAATCTTTCTATGAGGCGCTAGATCGATTCAAGGAGTACATTAGGGACTGCCCTAATCATGGTTTCAATGAGGGAAACCTATGGAACATCTTCTATCGTGGCATAGACCACAAGTACAAGCTTTCATTGGACACTGCAAGCAATGGAAACTTCATGACCAAGACTGTTGATGAAGCTAAGGTTCTTATTGAGAATCTTGCAGCTAGTGATTGTAACAACTGTCCTGATTATGACCGCTCAAGCCGCACCACTACTAGCTCCCCTGATTCTTTTCAAATGACTGAACTCAAGAACATGATGGCTCAAGTTCTTAAGGGACAGCTCAAGCATATCAATGCAATAGAAGGGATGAGTGATGCTAATGAAGATTCATCAAGAGAATGCATGGGAGATTCTCTAATGAAGCCAATGAAGAAGATGTGAACTACATTGGAAACTATGGGAACAAGGGATACAATCCAAGCTATCGCCCAAACCCCAACATGTCTTATAGAAACCCCAATGTGGAGAATCCTCAAGACCAAGTGTATCCTCCAAGGTATCCACAACAACAAAGACCTCCTTACCAATCTCAAGGAAGTCAATTTCAGCCAAGGCAAGGATATGAGCAGAGATCATCATATCCGCCCAAGGAGCCATATGCTTCTTCACCAAATCAAGCTCCTCCAAACCAACAAGGTGGGAGATTTGAAGGAATCCTCCAACAGATCATGGATGGCCAGAAGAGAAACACTAAAGAGATGTATGAGAAGATGGACACTTTGTTCAGCAATCTCAACACCAAGTATGATGCTGTTGCCACTCATGTGAAGAAACTAGAGACTCAAGTCACTCAAACTATGGAAGCTGTTAAGAGACAGGAAGCTGAATCCAAGAAGTCCTTTTGCAACTCAGCCGCCATAGAAGAAAGATTTGAAGACCAAGTTCCAGAATGGATGCTTTCAAAACCTACTGTTGATTGCATGATTTGGCCTGAAGAGAATTACCCAGAGAGAGAGTCCAATCGAGCTAGAAAGAGAAGACTCTTCCCAAAGATTATCCCCAAGACAGATAACTCAGGAAAGTTTGTGTGCCTTGTATCATCAAAGGTAACATTCTTGAGCAATCTTTGTGTGACACAGGAGCCAATGTGAACATCATGTCTAAGAGGATAGCTGACAAGATAGGCCTCACCAAGATAGAGCCATCATCCATCTCCATCAACTATGCTGATTCATTCTCACAAACCCCTATGGCTTTGTGCCTAATGTGATGGTGCAGATTGGAAATTGCTCTATCCCTACTGATTTCCAGATTGTGGAAATGAGAGAGAGTAGCCATAGACCTCTCATATTTGGAACCCCTTTCCTGTCTACTGTGGGTGCCATATTTGATTTCCCCAATCAAAGAATCTCTTTCAACAAGGTGAACAAGGGTATGTTCTTCCCTATGTGTTCAACAAAGAACTCTTTTGTTGACATGGTCCAAGAGGAGAAAGTTACTTTGAAGCCACCCCAAGAAGGAGAAACTGAAGAAACAATCAAGGAAGATCCCATTCCTAAGCCCAAGCAGCTTGCCAAACAAGCAAGGAGTAAGACTAAGGCCCCTACACCAAAACCGCCCAAGGGATCAACCAAGATTGAAGATGAGGCCAAGCCAAGAAGAAGGTTAGAAAGCCTAGGTCTGGCCGCAACATGAAGCTTCTATTCCCAAGGAGCTTATTGATGAGAATCTAGAAGGATTCAAGGAGAAAGTGACAAGAACTCTAAAGCTTTTTCCTAAGGCAGTAGTGCCAAGGGACATTCATGGAGAGATTGTCTATCCAGCTGTGAATCACCCACCAGATACTCATTGCAAGGAGAAAAGACTTGGAGGATCAAGATGCCTCTTGTCTCCATCTTCTCCTGAGTGCCAAGCCTTACAGTCAAGCTAAAGACTTAAAACAAGCGCTGCATGGGAGGCAACCCATGAGGTACTTTTACTTTTCTTTCTTTAATTTTCTTAGTTTTTGTTTTGCTTTTGTGTTTTCTTTGTTTTAAGATAGGATAGAAGGAGAAAAAGGTGTGAAAACACAATCCGCGCCAAAACATTGGCCGCGGACGCGCAAAAGAATTTTGGCCGAGCAATTCTCATGGCCGACCGTCACGGTCGAGCCGGGAAGGAATAGCTCGTGCTCGGCCGGATTACTCTATTGCGCGACAGAAACCGTTCGCGCGGCACGCACGAACCGGGAAGAAACGAGCCGCGATCGGCCGAAATTTTCGTATCGGAACGGACCGACCGTGCCGGTCGATCCGGGAAACAACGATCGGCCTCGGCCGAAATCTCTCGGCCAAACAATTTGGCCGACCAAATCGCTCGACCGCGACAAATCGGCCATCGGCCAAAACTTTTCTCGGCCAAGGTAAGTCCCCTTTTCATTTAATTCAAACCGGTTTTAACCAATTCTAAACCAACTTAAACCGGTTTTCAATCAAAATTCGAATTTGAAAAGGAAAATTGATAGGATTAGATCTTATTTACTTTACCTTTCCCTTGAAAACAACAAGAACCTCTCTTTCTTCTCCAAAACCCTAAACTCCATTAGAGGAACTCTAAGAGTTTTGATTTCAAAACTTTTACTGTTCATAACTCTAAATTGGAATTTACTTGCTCTTGCAACCTTATTCACTTTTCAACACACAAGGTATGTCTTCTAACTCTAATCCTATGTTTATGCAAGATCGAAATTCTCAATAAGTTTCTTGTTAAACTCTTGTCTAAACTTGAAATTACCATCCTTATAGTCTTGTAATGAACTTAGCTAGGTGGAACCTAGGTGGTTTAGAGTTAATTTGAAGTTTAATTTCACAATTGAATAGTTTTTCACAAAACTTATTGGGCATTCCAAACCCCTTATTCAAAGGTGAAATTGCTTAGGCATACTTCAATTCATTAGTTTATCTAGTGATTACTTGGATTAGAAACTCAATTTCTCTTGATTTGCTAAAAATTTTGATTTTAAGCACCATAATCTTGGGATGAACAGTAAAATCCGAAAATTAACTTTGAAAAAGTGAAATTTCTATTTTGTCTCTTTGATTCATGATTAAGCCTTGAGTTGTTCCTTTATTCCATATCATTATTACAACTCAATTAGCTTATTCTTCTTTTGCATTAATCACAAACTCATATTTCTCCCAAGAATTTGCTCTTGTAGGTACACAATGGCAAAGACAAAAGGAAATGAGAGTATGAAGAAGAAGAAGAACCCATTCATGGAGCCACCAAAGAAACAAATCAAGCTAGGGAGTAGTAGCTCCAATGCAAGAGCAGCAATACCAACTTCACCACATTCCATTGATGCAAATCAAGAACATGTGGAGAGTCCAAGAAGAGGAGAAGATGATTGGGCACTTGTAACCTTTGTTGGAGAACAAAATCAAGACCCAAGAAAGTGTAAGAAGGCAATGGAGAAGGTGAACATCGAGCCATGTGTGAAGATGGACACCCAAACCCTTGATCTTCTCAAGATAAGAGATGATGTCACATGGTACATAAGGAAGCTAGGCTTGAGCAAGCTCTTCAAGCTAGAATGTAGTGAGTACTCACAACTCACAAGGAGTTTCTCTCCACAGTAGCTCTTGCCTTTCCCAACCACAATGGAGACCAACCAGCTGGTGATGGACTCCTACTCTTCAAGATAGGCGATGCCAATGGGCGCATCTCCATCTCAGCTCTATGCCAACTCTTTGGACTTCCCAATGAGACAGCACATGACTTCAAGGAGAACTCAAAGAGGAAACAAGCTGCCTTTGCTGATTGGACACACTTTGCCAATGAACCATTCTTGCCTTCAAGGTCAAAGGTGTCTAGAATCACCCATCCAGCCATTCGCTATGTGCACCGCTAATGTGCGGGATCAGGTCTTCCCCTTTCCTATCCCTGACAAGTGCACAGGTCAGACCAGTAGTAAAGGTGTCGAACACAAGTTATGAGTTTGAGAACAAGCTAGGGCAAAAGTATAAGTTGGTTGAGTGCAGAGAAAGTAAAGCATGCAAGTAATTAAAGAAGGATTCAATAGGAGAGAAAGGCTAAGCAATAGGATAGTCTTGAGATAAGCAATTCAAGAAGCATGAAATCAATCAATTAGGGTTACCGCACTTAGGTGCTAATCTAGAACTTGAAACACTATGGTATGATCATTCCACTGTCGAGGCTCCGACCCCTTTGTTAATCTACCTAGTCGCTAAACTTTTGGTATGTCCCTAGGTGATTAAATCAAGCATTAGTTCGATCAAGATCAATTGTTCACAACCTACAAGTAGATCAACTGTCGCAGTCTAAAAGAGATTGCCCACCAAATACTAGTTCAGGCGAATGATACAGCACTGTCGAGGCTCAAATCAACCTAAAGGCATATGCTAATTGGCCAGATTAACAACAAGCATTAAGTATAAGCAAAGATGGAGATTATAAGTAAAACCCTAATTGTGATCAATCATCAAGCATTCATGAATGCTATCCTTTGACTTCCTATCACTTAACAAGTAAACTACTCAGACATAGAGAAGGAAATCGAATTCATATTCATAAGAACAGAGATTCGAATCCTCTCTAGAAAGAGTAACAAGCAAGAACAAAGTAAAAGCAAGCAAAACTTTATTAAGATGTAAAATAGATTGTGGTCTCTCTCCTTCTTGAGTTACAAGGCTAAAAAGAAGTATTTATAATGCTCTAAGTATAAGAAGCGGCTAAACCTAATCTAGCTAGGTCGGCGCCGGCTTTGGGCTTGAATTGTGCGGATTGGGCTTCAAAAACGGCTTCGGGTCGACCGCGGCGTTCGGACGGTCGTCGGGACGATCGGCCGGACAGTCGGGTCTTGGCCGAGTCGGAACGGTCGGGCCGGATGTTATGACGTCGGCCGGCGTGGTCGGCGGATAGGAATTGGCCGATGGTCTTCGGCCGGACGCGAGGCATAGTTTCCCGGCTCGGACGGAGCGTTCGGCCGTGGTACGTGAGTGAGTTGCGCGGCCGCGAGGCGTTACTCCCGGCTCGCGCGCTTTGGTCGTGCGCGGTTGTGGCGTGGCGGTTGTGGCGTGGCCGACCGCGGGAGTTTCCCGGGTCGTGATGCGTGATCGGCCGAGTTTTGGACTTTGGCCGAGACTTCAGTCGGACGGACGCAGTTTGGCCGAGCGCGGAACATTCGTTCCTCGGCCAGCCGGACTGCGCGTTCGGGCGCTGATTCTCGATATGGCCGTCTGGAGCAGCCTTCACTCTTTTGGCTATAACTCCTTTTCTACTCATCCAAATAGGCCGTTCCAGTTGCGTTGGAAAGTTAACTCAATCAGAGCACGCAGGGAACTGGTCTTGATGAAATCCATTGAGTAGATCTTTTTCTAGCTCCATCCAAAGTTGATGCAGGGGCATTGAACTGGTTTAGAGTCCAAATCTCCTGTTTTGCTCCATAATGCACCTTTTTACCTAAAATGACTCTTTGCACTATAAATCCATAAAAACTACCTTTTAACACAAGAATCCACTAGAAAACCATTAGAAAACCATAGTAAAATAGCATAAAAAGTAGGTAAAATAGAGGTATATCAACTCCCCCAGACTTAGATCTTTGCTTGTCCCCAAGCAAAAAGAATCTAAACTAGTGAAGAGGTTTTGAAAAACGTGGGAACTCTCTTGCTTCTTTGAAAATCCTGTGAAAGGTTCCTTTCCTGTATTCCACTAAGAACATAGTCAACATAAGGTTAGCTTCACATACACCCTGCAAGTTTAGCGAACAATACCAACCCAACTAGTCTCATCCAGCAATCCAAACTCTCTATTGTTAACCTCTTGCAGAAATTTAAAGCGTGAGTTCTTTATCAAGGGAAAATCGATCAATTGAACTTGTTCTTACCCACTTGATCTTCTCCAAGATTGTCTTTGAAGTGCAATGAGTTCCTTTTCCTCTCTCTTTCTCACATCAGAACTTTGAAAGGTCAATTTCTCCCTACTTTTCTAGGGTATCATTTTATTTTTTCTATTGACCTTTCTTTCAACCACAGGATAAGTCTTTAGCTTGTTCCTTGTTTGATAAGGTATTCCATAAGACATGAAGGTACAGACATATGCATTCCTCATGCTTACTTGTTTTCCTTGTGCTCTTTGAGCTTTTCTCATAAACATTACTTACCATTTGGGATGGGAGAGAGAGGTGAACTCAGATTAGACAAATCTCATTGAAAATCAAGCAAGGAACTGTCGACATGTATGCCAATCCCCTTGACAAGAGTTATTAAGATTGATTAAGGGTGAGGTTAACTCTAGATTGCTTGGTTACCTTAGAAATTTCGCTGAGCTAGCATGCGATCCACTCTAGGAGCTTCTGTTAGGCTTGTGCCTTCAGCTGATGTTTGCTCTAGGGTCATAGATTGTTAGCATGACACTATCAAATCTCAAAGCAAGTTCATTGTTCCGGACTGGTTTTGACTCAATAAAACAGAAGTTTTGAAAAAGTGGGTTAGGAAAAACCAATTGTAAGATCAAAACATCCATGAACAAACACATTAGTACCGACAATCCCCCCAGACTTAACTTGCACCGTCCCTGTGATACCCCGTCTCAAGGCCTAAAACATCCCAAAGGCCGGGATGGGAAGATCAAGGCTCTGGGATTGGAAGACAAAGGAGTGAGATTCACTCTAGAGGTCAAAACAAAGACTTGGGTCAAGACAGGATCAAGAACGATCGAGCAGAAGTGAAGATACAGCAAGATTTTCCAGGTGGGACGATCATTGTGCGAACATGGGAAGAGTCAACAGGACGACGAAATATCAAAGTTCTCCAAATCAAAAAGGGAAGAGTTTGGACGACATAAGAGACCATTCTAAGAAGTTTGGTCGAAGCAGAATGCAAATGGGACGAGCAGATTGAGAGATGGGACAAGCGCCCAAGATTTATCCCGCAACAACTGCAAGAACCGTAAATGTTCGGAATGGAGGTATTCTGCACATTTCCAAGCAACTATGTGGAAGCTCAGAAACATGGAAATGAGAGAAGGATTTAAAATAGGAGATTTTAATTCTCAAGCACGACGGGGACGAAACCCTCCAGACAGGGAAACGTACGAAACCCTCTGGACGAGGAAACGTACATTTGGAGCAATCTTGTTCTAAGCCAACCAAGTGGTGACACCAGCTACTTGGGGAAGATAAGGATGAGCTAGACCAGTATGGAGAAGACACTCAGCTACTCAGATGGAGCCAAAACCGTACGGGCCAATCATGTAGCAACATCCAGCTACTGAATGAAGACGAAGCAAGCCTAAACCAATTGGGCAACGACACCAGCTTCTAAAGAGGAGAGAGGGCGTGGATAAACTCCAAGAAGACCTAATGCTATCAGGGATAGACACCCACCTGCTCATGCGAGACAAGAATCGTCCAAACCAATCAGACGGAGACATTGAGGTGATAAATGGAGACAAAATTGACTTGGACGAATCAGGATGCAACACCAACTACTGAGAGAGAGTATAAGCTTCAGGAGTGGATGAGAAGCAAGTGGAGAGATGCAGAAACGGATTGGATCAAGAGCTGACCAATCAGACAGAAGCACACAGCAGCTTAAGGAGATAAGATGAGTTATATCCAATGGCACGACCACACCTCATGCTTAAGGGAAGTCGGCCTATTGGATGAGCATTGAGAGGGGATAGGAATGACGTGTGTCATGTCCTGAGACGCCCTATAGGCCACCAATCAAAGCTACCTAGCCTAGACCGCCTGGATGTCGCGTTATGAGGCAGTGTAGGTTTCCACCAAGCAAAGCTATGCTAGACCTCGGTCTCCATGTGTATGGGCATTACTGGAGACGTCCCAAGAAGCCAGGCAGCCTCCTAAACTCCTATAAATACGCTCCTCCAGCCCCAAGACCAAACCATTCCATTCCCAAAGCTAGAGAGCACCTGAAAAGTGATTAGAGAGTAATTAAGAAAGTTTTCTTAATTAAGTGAGTTTAGTGGAAGATTAGAGTAAGTCAAGATCAAAGTTTAAGGAAAGCTAGGAGGGTCTTGAAGTCTTCCTAAAGTGGTGAGTCTTGGTGTTATAGTTTTGTTGTTTTGGATCTATACATGTGTATGCAGGTTGTATGAACACCAAAGCATAGGAGATGCTTTCTGTTCATATTGTTTATTAAGTATGTGGTATAACTCTCTAAAAAATAAGGTTTAGTAAAAATTGTGGAGAGTTATGCTGCAGAAATTTATGTAATATGATATGTTGTGAGGTTGTGATGGGTAACCTTCTAGGGAGAGAAGTTATGCCGTCAAATCTCCTGTGTGTTTATATGCAGGTTTGCATTGTTGTGAGGTTGTGATGGATAACCTTCTAGGGAGAGAAGTTATGCCGTCAAATCTCTTGTGTGTTTATATGCAGGTTTGCATTGTAGTGATGTTGTGATGGGTAATCTTCTAAAGAGAGAAGTTATGCCGTCAAATCTCTTAGGTGTTTATGTAGGTTTGCATTGTTGTGAGATTGTGGCGGGTAATCTTCTAGGGAGAGAAGTTATGCCGTCAGATCTCTTGTGTGTGAGGTTGTGTTGGGTAACCTTCGCGAAAGGTTATGCCACCATATCTCATGTGTTGTAGGTGCATAGAGATGCATCGGTTGTGAGGTTAAAGCACGGCTATGCCGCTAAACCTCGAGTGCATACTAACATGGTGGCGCTTAAAGGCCCATGTGTTGAGTATGGCTCCGGTGTGTTGAGGATCTGGATGGCTATGCCATCAGATCTATTTTGGGGAGGTTCTGGTTGGTAACCTTTCACGCGGGGAAAGCTCTGCTTGCGAGTAATCTTTCACGTAAGGGAGAGCTCTGCCTCAGAACCGGGGGTACAAGTATATTAGGGCGTAGCCCATATGCTAGTACCGGCACTTATGGTGTAACCATAAGCGGGGCCAGGTCCATATGAATGTAGTGAGACATTCATATGGAAGTATACATGAATGTTGTGGTTAGGGTGGTGTACTCAAGACATTCACGCACAAACTCCTTTCATGTGCGATTGTTAGGAGGTGCCCCAGCCTATTACAACGGTGTGGGAAGAACTCGGAGAGACGGGATTGCAGCCTAGGGCCGAGTTAATATCATACGACGGTATGATCCGACTAACAATGAGGTCAGGTCGATGAGTGAGGGCCGGTCGGGTTACTGTGTGTTTCCTGGCGCGGTGCTTCGCGTGTGCGTGTAATGAGTTCCCTTGGTACACCAATTAGAGGTTTCACCGGTGAAGCAGTGGTGTGTGTAGTGAGGAGTCAAGTACTGGAGTACTTGCATTTAGGAGCCAAGTACAGGGGTACTTGTGTTTAGGAGACAAGTATAGCAATACTTGTCTAGGAGTGCATAGATATTGCATGTGATTGCATAAGTTATGCAGGTTGTGGTGTACTAACCTCAATGCAGGTGGAGGCGGGATTACAAGCCCGCGGCGTTTGTGTTTGGAGTTTAGGGAATCCCCCTTGTATAGAGGTCCTAGACTCACTGAGTAATATTAGATTACTCATTCCTTTTGTTTAATGTTTTCAGGTGACCGTAGAGGTGTGAAGTAGAGCGGACCGCTGCAGGCAGTAGGCGACCAGAATAGTTTTGTGGTATGTTTTTGTAAAATTATGGTTTGTTGTTTGGTTTGGAACTAAGGATCGATACGCATGTTTTTAAGTCGGATTTTGTAAGCACTCTGATATTTTAATAAAGGAAAGTTTTATGTAAAGACCTTATGTTCCAATGATATTAGCTTGGTCCGGGCTAACACAACTCCTGACCGAAGTACGGGTTGGCAAGCCTTAGGCTTTGGTCAAGAGGGTCGAGTTCGTGGAACGGGCTGACCTGGGCTCTGATTTGTTCTTAGTCTGGGATGGCCTATTCGGCGAACATCGACATTTTGTGGCGCTTTTCGGAACGTCTGTGCCTAGGACGGTTCGGGGGTGTTACAGTCCCGGTGAAAGAAAATCCAATTAAGGGAGTTAAAGAAAGAGGTAATAAAGTGGTTGTGAATGTAAAAAGAAAGATGTAACCTGTTTTGTGTTACTTGAAGAATGGTGAATGCAGTGGAATGATGGTAGTGATGGAATGCAAGTGTGGTGAGGTGGGATGGGTGAGATGCAGATGGAATGAGATGGGATGGTGTGTTGGGCGGCTTGAGAGGACATGGGCGAGCGTGGAGAGGTTCTGCTCGGCCATCAAAGGTCGCGCCAACTATGAACATTCTTTTGTGGTATATCTTCTTTACCATTGTGTGGTTCTTAGATTCCTGTATCCAAAACTCAAAACAAAACTAGACATTAACTAAAACTAATTGAAAAGAAAAGTATAGAAAAACACCTTTCATGGGTTGCCTCCCATGCAGCGCTTCTTTTTAGTCATTAGCTTGACTGATAGGATCTCTTAGTTGGAGATGGGGTAAGGGCACGGCCTGAGACATAGTCTTTTAGTTCTTGTCTCATTGTGACCTTGAGTGTGGTCTGGTGGCTCTCTTGGGCGGCCTTGGGCAGTGATGAGGTAAGACAGCTTGTTTGGTGCGATGAATGGTATGGTCTTGTAAAAGACTGTCTTGTCTACATTGGTCAAAGACATTCGCCGGTTTGGAAGGTCCATGACAGCTCCAGCAGTGGCCAAAAAGGGTCGGCCTAGTATCAATGGTGTGTCACATCCTCCTTGAATGTTTATGACATGAAAGTCCACCGGGATCTTGATATCTCCAATCTCTAGAAGAACATCAATAACAACTCCTCTTGGCTTGGCTATAGTATGGTTAGCAAGTCCAATACTAATTTGAGCAGGTTGCAAGCGTGTGATGCCAAGGAGTTTGGCGGTTTGGGTTGGCATGAGGTTTATGCAAGAGCCAGAATCGCATAGTGTTCTATCAAAGTAATGACCATTTACTTGACAGGGAATAGAGAATTGACCTGGGTCTTCAATCTTGTAGAGGGTCTTGAAGGTAGGCTGAACTTTAGCTTTCTCAAAAAGCTCTTTATGTCTTCAGGTGTCTCCTTGCAGTTGTGGAAGAAAGTGGTGAATGGGTAGTGGCGCCAAGCTGTTTGGAAGGACATGCTGGCTGGAAGAGTTTGGACAAACTGGTTGAACTCAGCAAGCTTCTCTCTTGATATGGAATTGACATACCACTTGGGTGTGGTGAAGATGGTGGTGATGGTGGTTGATTGACTGCATGAGGGGCAAGGGGAAATCGAGCCTTCCTGAAAAGTTGGTGTATCTCTTCTTTGTTTTCACTAGTTGTGAAAAAGAACTCCACTAGATCATGTTTATCCCAAGCTTCTTCAAAAGTGACATAGAATGGAAGTGATTTCACCTTAGCATTGAACTCCTTAAGCTTCATGGGGCTTATCTTGTTGGGATCAATGGGATCATACTGCCAAGTATCTTCTTCTTCAGTAGGTGGTGATGGTCTTTGCATTGCTTCCAATCTTGGAAGTGTAGGAGCTTGAAGATACCACATACTTATTAAACGATAGAAGGAAATAAACTATAACCTAGCTACCGGAACTCACAGATTTTAGACGACCCGGCTGACCCCGTTCCTAGCCTACCCCGCTCTAGCCCGAACCCGATCCGCCTTTGGATCTTCTCTTCTTCTTCTGCACCTTCTTCTTCTTGCTCTTCTTCTCCACCTTCTTCTTCTTCTTCTTCTTCTCTTCTTGGGCGTTCTCCTCTCTTTCTCTCTCTTTCTGTCTCTTTCTTTATCTCTCTAGATTTTCAGGTTTTGGTGTGAGTTGAAATGAAGGCTGAAGGGGCCTTTATATAGGTTTATGGGAAGCTGGAGGTGGCGTCTGAGGGCTTCAGAACGTGACACCTCTCCTCTGCATGCAACCAATGGCGTTGAGGCACGCCTGCAGCTGCTTCTCCCATCCCATCCACTTGGATCGAATGGCACCTTCCCATTGGTCCATTCTCCAAGCTGCTGGGTATCTCCATTTGATTCGTTCATTTTTGGATAAGATAATCCAATCACAATGCTTATCCACGGCCTCACTCTCTCCCATCAGGTGATGTTGACACACGATTGGTCCAACACAATTTCGTCCCATTCCAACAGCTCAATGTCTCTGCGTGATTGACTGAACGGTTTTGGCTCCATCTGAGTACCTTGGTGTCTCCTCCTTACTATTTTAGACCATCTTTATCCTCCTCAAGTAGATGGTGTCACCACTTGATTGGCTTAGAGCAAGATTGCTCCAAAAGTACGTTTCCTCGTCCAGAGGGTTTCGTACGTTTCCCTGTCTGGAGGGTTTCGTCCCCGTCAAGTTTGAGAATTAAAATCTCCTATTTTAATCCTTCTCTCATTTCCATGTTTCTGAGCTTCCACATAGTTGCTTGGAAATGTGCGGAATACCTCCATCCCGAACATTTACGTTTCTTGTAGTCGTTGCGGGATAGATCTTGGGCGTTCGTCCATCTCTCAATTGCTCGTCCGATTTGCATTCTGCTTCGACCAAACTTCTTAGAATGGTTTCTTATGTCGTCCAAACTCTTCTCTTCTTGATTTGGAGAACTTTGATATTTCGTCGTCCTGTCGACTCTTCCCATGTTCGTACAATGATCGTCCCACCTGGACAATCTTGCTGTATCTTCACTTCTGCTCGTTCGTTCTTGATCATGTCTTGATCCAAGTCTTCGTTGTGATCTCTGTATTAGATCCCATGTCTTTGTCTTCCAATCCAAGAGTGTTGATCTTCCCATCCCGGCCTTTGGGATGTTTTAGGTCTTGATACGGGGTATCACATGCAGCGCTGGAACGTCGCCGGTGCATTGCACATCCAAACGGCATTCTGCGATATGCATAAGTGCCATATGGACATGTGAATGTCGTCTTCTCCTGGTCGTCTGGGTGGATGGGGATCTGAAAGAAACCTGAGTAACCATCTAAAAAGCAGTAGTATGGATGGTTAGCCAATCTCTCAAGCATTTGATCAATAAATGGGAGAGGAAAATGATCTTTGCGAGTTGCAGCATTCAGTTTGCGGTAATCAATGCACATGCGATGACCAGTGACAGTTCTAGTGGGTATCAGCTCATTCCTATCATTCTTAACAACAGTTATACCACCTTTCTTAGGAACTACATGCACAGGACTGACCCACTTACTATCAGATATAGCATAAATTACACCAGCATCTAGAAGTTTCATTATCTCTTTCTTGACAACATCTTTTAGATTCGGGTTTAACCTCCTCTGATGTTCTACAGAAGTCATCGATTCATCTTCTAGATGTATTCTATGCATGCAAAGATCAGGAGAAATTCCAGGGATGTCATCTAGCGAATACCCTATAGCTTTTCTATACTTCCTAAGCTCACAGAGAAGCAAAGCAAGTTCAACATTGTTCAGATCAGCATTCACTATCACAGGGTATGTAGAGTTAGGTCCCAGAAAAAATAAAGATAAAGTTCAATTTTTCCCGCACAATCCCAATCCCAATGGTCCGGATGGGATGATCAACTCTGAAGACGAAGAGAAGATAAAGCTGTTTCAAGAACGGTATGGCCGGGATAAGGAATTTCCGGACATTTCCGAGCAGCTAAGTGAAAGCTCAAAAGCATGGAACTGACGAAAGGATTAAAATAGGAAATTTTAATTCTCAAGCACGACGGGGACGAAACCCTCCGGAAGAGGAAACGTATGAAACCCTCCTCGAAAGGAAAGAGGCGGATGGAGCAATGGGATGACAACACCAGCTACTTGGAGATGATAAGAATAGTCTAAACCAGTAAGGAGGCGACACCATCAGCTACATAGGACGAAATTGTGCTGGACCAATCAAGTGTGAGCACTCAGCTGCTCATAATGGACGAAAATGTGTTGGACGAATCATGTCTAAGCACCCAGCAGCTTGAGGAAGGAGCCAATGGGATGAAGCCACTCATTCCAGGAAGATAGGATCAAGGAGGAGATGGTCATCTTGAATGGACCAATCACGTGCAGCTACCCAGCAGCTTAGAAAATGGACCAATGGAAGGTGCCATTGTCATGGAAGGATAGGGATTGGTCCAAGCTGCTGGAGGAATGTCTTCACGCCATTGGTTGCATGTAAAGGAGAGGTGTCACGTCCTGAAGCAAGGAGATGCCACCACCAGCTTCCCTCCAAGCCTATAAATAGGAGCCTTGGCCTCATTTCCAAACCACACCAAAATCAGAAAGAAAGAGAGAGAAATAGAGAGAGAAATAGAGTGAGAGGGAGGACGCCCAGAAGAAGAAGAAAGAGGAGGAGGAGGAGAAGAAGAAGAAAGAGAAGAAGAAGAAGAAGAAGAGAGGGAGCGTTCGGGCAGAAGCTTAGGGCAAGCCGGCGGTTTAGCGGTAAACCCAGAGTAGTAAACCTAGGCTAGAAACTGTTCAGCCGAAAGCACTGTGAGTTGTGGTGATGTTTGATTGCTTGCTAGGGAATGCTAGATTGTGCGATTGTTGATTGCTTTGATTGTGAGTTGTGGTGATGTTTGATTGCTTGTTAGGGAATGTTAGATTGCTTGATTGATTGATAGTTTGATTGTGAGTTGTGGTGATGTTTGATTGCTTGCTAGGGAATGCTAGATTGCGTGATTGATTGATTTCTTTGATTGTTTGATTGTTTGATTGATTGCTTTGATTGTGTGGTTCTTTGTTATGATGCTTGCTTGTTTGTTAGATCTTGTTTATTGTTATTATATTACATGTGAGGTTACATGGTTACTTGTTTGATGTTGATGTTGGCGGTTCGGTCTTCTTTGGTACCCCTTCCTAGCAAATGGACTGGCTAGGTGGGAAGACTCGGAGAGACGGGATAGCAGCCTATGGCCGAGTACTATTCCACCTCATGTAGTCAATGGATTGACTAATGAGAATACTCGGAGAGACGGGGTTGCTGCCTATGGCCGAGTATGGAATAGACAGCCCGGGACGTGACCATCTGGGAGACAGAACTCGTTGGGTTGTGAACCGTGGAAACGGCGATCCAACGGGATGTGACTGTCTGGGAGATGGAACTCGGGTAGTGATGTTCTATCTCGCGTGCCTGTGTGGCTGTGAGATAGGTGTTCACGGGAAGTACCGAACGCGCAAAAGAGAAAGTGGTTGAGTGTGATGTTAAGTTTATTTATTGCATGTTTGAGCATTGATTGATTGTTGTTGTTTATAATCTCTGATTGATCGTGCATGTTCTTGTTTGATTGTTGTGCGGTCAGTCTAGGGGTTATAGCAACATTGCTTGTTGTGTGTTATTTTGGGTTTTTGGGTTGGGATTATTATTGCTTGTTAGTGGGAGCTACAACTCACTGAGCGATTAGCGCTCACCCCCCCACTCTCTTTTGCAGGAAACCAGTAGTTGGAGCAAGGACGTTAGGCCGCCAGCGCGTAAAATAAAGCTTTTGAATTTATGTAGTGTGGGTTTTGGGCATTAGGCTCGAATGTGATGTATTTCCGATGTTTTGTGAAACCTTATATAGATTAATAAAGTTTATTTTCTATATCAACTGGTTTCATCTGATATTAGCTTTGTCCGGGCTAACACAACTCTCGGCTTTGGTACGGGTTGAAAAGCCTTAGGCCGTGGCCAAGAGGGTCGAGCTCGCGGGACGGGCTGACCTGGACTGTGATGTGTTCTTCGTCCGGGACGGCCTATCCAGCAAACCTCGGCAAATTGTGACGCTCACCGGCTTTGTCTATGTGTATAGATCGAGTCGGGGGTGTTACATGTTGGGGTTTGGGCGATAGCTTGGATTGTATCCCTTGTTCCCATAGTTTCCAATGTAGTTCACATCTTCTTCATTGGCTTCATTAGAGAAATCTCCCATGCATTCTCTTGATGGGTCTTCATTAGCATCACTCATCCCTTCTATTGCATTGATATGCTTGAGCTGTCCCTTAAGAACTTGAGCCATCATGTTCTTGAGTTCAGTCATTTGAAAAGAATCAGGGGAGCTAGTAGTGGTGCGGCTTGAGCGGTCATAATCAGGACAGTTGTTACAATCACTAGCTGCAAGATTCTCAATAAGAACCTTAGCTTCATCAACAGTCTTGGTCATGAAGTTTCCATTGCTTGCAGTGTCCAATGAAAGCTTGTACTTGTGGTCTATGCCACGATAGAAGATGTTCCATAGGTTTCCCTCATTGAAACCATGATTAGGGCAGTCCCTAATGTACTCCTTGAATCGGTCTAGCGCCTCATAGAAAGATTCATTGTTGGCTTGGCGAAAGTTGGAGATCTTGTTCCTTACAGAAACTGATCTTTGCTTGGTGTAGAAGTGGTTGATGAAAGCGGCCTTGTACTCATCCCAAGTGGTAATGGAGTGAGCTGGCAGAGACTTCAACCATCTTGAAGCTTTGTCGCCAAGAGAGAATGAAAAGAGCTTGCACTTCAAGTAGTCAGCTGAGACTCCATTGGATCTTGTAGTGCTGCAAATCTCTTCAAAGTTTTCTATGTGATCAAGAGGGATGCTCGGCTGGAAGGCCATTGAATTGGTTCTGTCTAACCAATGCTATGATCTGAGGCTTGATCTCATAGTCATTCCTTGCAGGAAGTGGTGGATGGATAGGGTTTCTATCCGTGAAGAAAGCATCGGCAGAGTCATAGTCTCCGATTGTTTGCTCCTGCTTGAGGTTGCACATTCACATCTCCAGCAGGGTCTTGTGGATTAGGAGGAGGAGGAGGTGGATCTCTTCCTTCTTCATTGAGCGCGCGCCACTTCAGCGGCGTGAGCGCGAGCTGCTTCGTCGGCCATCTCTTGGGCTTTTTGCTTCCTAAGTCAACTTCTCAAGCTTGTCTATCTCTGGATGTTCAACTAGGTTGTCCTTGTTGGACCTCCTAGTCATGCACCTGAAAAGATTCTAGGAAACAAACTAAATCAAAAGGGAAAAACAAATGCAAAAGCAAAAATCAAAGAAAAGAAATCAAAAACTAAAAATTCAAAAGCAAAAACAAGTAAAACAGGAGAAAGGTACTGCTGCAGTCCCCGCAACGGCGCCAAAAACTTGATGTTGAGTCAGGTTTTACCAAAACAAAAGTATAAAACAAAAGTATGGTTTGAGGTTGTAATGGTGAACCGAACTAGCAAGTATAACGAGGTTGTAAACAATAAGGAGGAAACGCTAGGTCATAGGGGCTATCGCAGAGAAGCAAGCAATGATCAATGAAACAATGATAGATGAATTGATTAGGGATGTTGGGATATTAAGAACCGTCTAGAACACAGATCACGAATATAAAACCATTCCACTTTCGAGGCTCCGGCTCCTTTGTTAATCTACCTAGTCGCTAAACTTTTGGTATGTCCCTAGGTGATTAAATCAAGCTTTAGAATGAATAGGTTCTGATACAGTTCACTAGATTATAGTAGATCAACTTTCGCAGTCTAAGAAACCTAGCTTGTCAAAGAATATGTCCGGCGAATGATACAACACTGTCGAGGCTCAAATCAACCTAAGATCGGATTACTAGATGCGCGGTAAAGCAATCAGCATTAGTTAAGTGCACAAGACGAGACAAAGACTCTAATATAATCCCTAGCTAATCATTGAAATCAAAGATCATGCAAGCAACTCATTGAATAGTAACCCTAGCAACCTAACTAGTGGATTACTCAGACATGATCAAAGCAAACACACATAGAGATGAAGAAAACATGATTGCAATAAAACTTAGAGTAGAAATCGAAATACAAGGGCGGCTCTCTTTTCACAAGAGGCTAAAAAGCTATATATATAGTGCTAGGTCTTTTGAGGCGGCTTAGGGTTAAGCCGGGCCTTGAAAATATGTGAAACGGGCTTCAAAACGGGCTTCGGGTCGACCGCGGCGTTGGGACGGTCGGTCGGGACGATCGGCCGGATGAATCGGGTCATGGCCGCTCTTAGTACGATCGGAACGGTCGTGGCCGGACGGATTCGTGGTCGGCCGCTTGGTCGGAGGGAAGGATTGGCCGATGCTTTCTCGGCCGGACGCGGGACGTAGCTTCCCGGCTCGGACGGCGCCATCGGCCGTGGTACGCGAGAAGGTTGCGCGGCCGCGAGGCTTTTTCCCGGCTCGCGCGGCATGGCGTGGAGCGGTTGTGGCGTGGCCGACCGCGGGACATGTTTCCCGGGTCGTGATGTGATCGGCCGAACGATTTGACTTTGGCCGAGACTTCAGACGGACGGATGTGATTTGGCCGAGCGTGAAACGTTCGTTCCTCGGCCAGCCGGACTGCGCGGTTTGGGCGCTGATTCTCGATAGAGCCGTCTGGACAGTCTTCACTTTTTTGGTTGTAACTTCTATGTTGCACTATGGCTGTGATGAGTCTCCCAAAGCGCACACAAAGCTTCTTGTTGCCTTCCAAGTCTTTAGCTAGATTCCTCACATTGATGAGTGTCTTGGCAAGCAAGAGGCCAAGGTTGGCCTTGTACTCATGCTTGATGAATGGTGTGGTGAGGATGTAGAACTCATCGGTTGTGACCTTGTTGGCTTCTTGTTTGCATTGGAAAGTGGTGGAGATGAGGCGGTGCACATAGCGAATGGCTGGATGAGTGATTCTAGACACCTTTGATCTTGAAGGCAAGAATGGTTCATTGGCAAAGTGTGTCCAATCAGCAAAGGCAGCTTGTTTCCTCTTTGAGTTCTCCTTGAAGTCATGTGCTGTCTCATTGGGAAGTCCAAAGAGTTGGCATAGAGCTGAGATGGAGATGCGCCCATTGGCATCGCCTATCTTGAAGAGTAGGAGTCCATCACCAGCTGGTTGGTCTCCATTGTGGTTGGGAAAGGCAAGAGCTACTGTGGAGAGGAACTCCTTGGTGAGTTGAGTACTCACTACACTCTAGCTTGAAGAGCTTGCTCAAGCCTAGCTTCCTTATGTACCATGTGACATCATCTCTTATCTTGAGAAGGTCAAGGGTTTGGGTGTCCATCTTCACACAAGGTTCATGTTCACCTTCTCCATTGCCTTCTTGCACTTTCTTGGGTCTTGGATTTGTTCTCCAACAAAGCTTACAAGTGCCCAATCATCTTCTCTTCTTGGACTCTCCACATGTTCTTGATTTGCATCAATGGAATGTGGTGATGTTGGTATTGCTGCTCTTGCATTGGAGCTACTACTCCCTAGCTTGATTTGTTTCTTTGGTGGTTCATGAATGGGTTCTTCTTCTTCTTCATACTTCATTTCCTTTTGTCTTTGCCATTGGGTACCTACAAGAGCAAATTCTTGGGAAGAGATATGAGTTTGTGATTAATGCAAAAGAAGAATAAGCTAATTGAGTTGTAATAATGATATGGAATAATGAACAACTCAAGGCTTAATCATGAATCAAAGAAACAAAATGGAAATTTCACTTTTTCAAAGTTAATTTTCGGATTTTACTGTTCATCCCAAGATTATGGTGCTTAAAATCGAAATTTTCAGCAAATCAAGAGAAATTGAGTTTCTAATCCAAGTAATCACTAGATAAACTAATGAATTGAAGCATGCCTAAGCAATTTCACCTTTGAATGAGGGGTTTGGAATGCCCAATAAGTTTTGTGAAAAACTATTCAATTGTGAAATTAAACTTCAAATAACTCTAAACCACCTAGGTTCCACCTAGCAAGTTCATTACAAGACTAATAAGATGCTAATTTCAAGTTTAGACAAGAGTTTAGACCAAACAAGAAACTTATTGAAATTTTCGATCTTGCATAAACATAGGATTAGAGTTAGAAGACATACCTTGTGTGTTGAAAAGTGAATAAGGTTGCAAGAGCAAGTAAATTCCAATTTAGAGTTATGAACAGTAAAAGTTTTGAAATCAAAACTCTTAGAGTTCCTCTAATGGAGTTTAGGGTTTTGGAGAAGAAAGAGAGGTTCTTGTTGTTTTCAAGGGAAAGGTAAAGTAAATAAGATCTAATCCTATCAATTTTCCTTTTCAAATTCGAATTTTGATTGAAAACCGGTTTAAGTTGGTTTAGGATTGGTTAAAACCGGTTTGAATTAATGAAAAGGGGACTTACCTTGGCCGAGAAAGTTTGCCGGGTCGTGCGATTTGGTCGGCCAAATCTCGTGTGGCGAGAATTTCGGCCGAGGCCGATCGTTTGTTTCCCGGATCGACCGTAACGGTCGGTCCGTTCCGATACAAAATCCGGCCGAGCGCGGCCGTTCTTCTCTGTCCGTGCGTGCTGCGCGGACGGTTTCTGTCGCGCGATAGAGTCAATCCGGCCGAGCATAAGCCGTTCCTTCCCGGCTCGACCGGCACGGTCGGCCCGGTTGGAAATTGCTCGGCCAAAACATTTTTCTGCGCGTCCGCGGCCAATGTTTGGCGCGGATTGTGTTTTCACACCTTTTTCTCCTTCTATCCTATCTTAAAACAAAGAAAACACAAAAGCAAAACAAAAACTAAGAAATTTAAAGAAAGAAAAGTAAAAGTACCTCATGGGTTGCCTCCCATGCAGCGCTTGTTTTAAGTCTTTAGCTTGACTGTAAGGCTTGGCGCTCAGGAGAAGATGGAGACTAGAGGCATCTTTGATCCTCCAAGTCTTTTCTCCTTGCAATGAGTATCTGGTGGGTGATTCACAGCTGGATAGACAATCTCTCCATG